ATCAATACCCAGATTGATGAGTGTTTATTCCCAATTAGATTAGAAAAACGATGATTCCAACCGCATTGATTATATGTGTGTTCTTCACCGGATAGAGTGCTCTGATTTACGTTCCAAGTTTCTGGAGGAAATCGAGGCTCAATTCGACGTGTTTGGAATTGAGAATTGCTTCTTGTGACAAATTCTATAAATATGAAAAAAAAAATCCGGGGGTTTATTTTCGGGGTTTTATTCCTGGGGGTTTATTTTCCGGGGGTATTTTTTCCTGGGTTTTATTCCGGGGTTTTTTTCCTATTACCGTTTTAATTAAATATATAGATATAAAAATTATTTTAAAAAAAAACTGTATTCTTATAACATTTTTGATATTTTATTTGATTAGTTTAAGAATATTTGTACTTCTTAACATAACATCAATTAATTCTCATATTATGTATACAGCAAATACAAAAAAATCTACTACTAATACTAGAAGTAATTTCATTAAAAAATTAGCAATGGACCTTATTTTAGAAAATTAAATTATAATTATCCTCATCATCTTTAATCTAAGCTTAAGAAATAAAAATAACTAAATATTATAACAAGTTTAAGGTTATTTTTACCTTATATCAAAATATTAAATCAAAATAATGAATTTAACTGGAGATATATACATTAGAAATTGGTGTCTATTAAATAAAACCTACCAGAGTACTTGTACTAACGTCAATTTTTTCACCTAAGTATTGAGGGTTAAAAAATTATTTCCTCACTGAATAACACATAATAGTAGAAATTTTTACTATGATGAGCAAAATCAGTTAAAGGAATTTCTGATAGCAGTAGTAGGAAGCTGCGATGTTAATTGAAATTTATTGAAATAGTTCTTTATTGAAGATTGTTTTTTCATCTATAATTCTAAAATATTCACACAGCTGTTTTGATAAATTTACAAACACAATGATAAAATTATGAACAAAATGATGTTGACTTATTATTGGACAAAAATACACAGGATAGAAAGAAATTTACATACTAAACATGTTTTTCGAATAAATATTTAAAATATATTTTAAAAATATAAAAATAATCAATTACTGTCTAATTATTATTTATATATTAAAAACATTAAAATGCTAAAAAAAAAATTGCGGAAGAAATAAAAAAATTGCGATATATTTTTGCGGGAGATTTCCAATTGCGGTAGTTTTGCAAAAGTAAGATGTCTGCGTGTAAACTAAAAAATTACAGGAGTCTCCCGTTGATGGGGGGAGACATGGCAACCCTGATCGTGAATGAAAATAATCGTGATGTGAAAACTTTAAAAAAATTTATTTAAAAAAAAAATCATATGAAAATAACCTAACTAAAAAAGTGCGCAATATTTCTCAACACGATCAGCTTTTGTCCAAATGCAACGGAGCTACCCCATCTAATTTTAAAAAATTATCAAAATATTGGCACAGCACGTTTCTTAAATTTTTGATGGCTTTATTATTAGATGCCAACTTCTATAATTTGAGCGTTTTATTATTAAGTAAAAGTCGTGCTTTACTATTTACAACGACATAAAATGACAAGTTTTTCCTGGCAATAAGGCATAGGTCATAAGCCACAAGTCTAAATTTTTTAAATATATTTATGGGTTATTAAATTCTTGGTTGGGTCGAATTATCATAATTTTTGGTAGGATTTTTGGTCGAAAAAATAAGCCAGACCCAACCTATTCAAATGGGCCGATCTGTTTTTTTCTAATCTGAAAATATTGCATATTATTTTTATTTTACTTTAGCAACTCGAGTCGCGAAATGCAGTTTTAATTATGAATCTTTACTGTAAACTTAAGGAAATAGTTTAATATTAACATCGAAATGATTATATTAATTCTCTTTAGTATCTTTTTTTTTAAAATTCAACCCAAACTTCTTTGAAAATTCATCCCAATATATTAAACTTTTAAGCAAATTTCAAATACCTCTTTTATATCTCTTCTTTTACAATTCATCTCAATATATTAAACTTTTACCCAAATTTCAAACACATATTTTGTATCTCTCCTTTTTAAATTCATCTCAATATATCAAACTTTTATGCAAATTTCTAACACCTCTTTTGTACATCTCAATATTTTAAACTTTTACGCAAATTTCTAACATCTCTTTTGTATTTCTCCTTTTAAAATTCAACCCATGTATAGATATTCCAGCTCAATCCTTCCTCGATTTCCCCGATATCTCCCCAATGACCTCCCCTATTTCTCCCCAATGAGTCCCCCGATTTTTTAATTTTTCCTTTAAAATCCCCCACCCCCTCCCGCCATTTCTCCCCAAGAATTCTCTCCGATTATTCCCCTAAAATCCCCCCTGCTCACAAATACAGTTTTTTTTAATTCATTTAAATCTAAAAAAATAAATAATTCTCCACTTCTTATATTATAAATTTCTACACAATAGTCTATATATGTCATATCTCTTTTTTTTATACCCCAAAATTTTAAGTTAATTTAATAGTCTCATAAATCAACTTTTAAATTAATTTTTCTTTCATTTCGAATATATATTTTAGATATTCGTCAACTCATTTTAAAAAAAATTTATGCACAATAAAATTAAAACATCATCTTTTCTATTCCCCCTTATTTAACCCTATGTTCATTAATTTTTAAAAAAAAATTATACAACACACTAATTCTACTCAATTAACCAAAAATGCTTTCCAAATTATTTTTTTTTCTCATCAAAAATTATTACTTTTATTAACCATTTCAATTCCCTTTTATTCCTTCACTTTTTTATTAAAAAATATTATTCTACACTTTCAGACTTTACCCAAACTCTTGAAATACTGAAAAAAATCAAAATTAATTTTACACACATATACTTATTTTAAGTACTAAAGTTTTTAAAATGACTGGGGTCTGCATAGTCCCACCTTTGCAATGAAGGATAAATTTCTTTTTTTTCAAAATCATGTTCTTGAAAATTTTATATAAATATATAGTGATGTTAAGCGGCTCAATTTAAGTCGATTTTTAAAAATGGCTATATTTAATAAAGAAAAAAACTAAATATATTTGAAAGAAGAAATAAAATTAAAATTATGATTATAATAAATGGGGTATTTATAATTTTTTTAAGGAAACTGAATTGAAAAAAATAACGATTTTTACCAGGAAAATATCACTCTACCTTTTCAGATTCTTAAAAAGATAGAGGCCCAAATTTAGAAGGATTTTTATAAATTAACGCCTTAATGGTAAGGGATTTTCTTCGGCAAGCGCCTGAAGATTGAGCCGAGTTAGCCTGTATCTAGACATTACCAAATTATAGCAATTACACAAACAATATAAAAATTGTGAATCCCCCCCCCCCTAAATAAAATCGATTCAAAAGCATATTAAATATCCCATTCAAGCTCAATCTTGCCGAATTTAGGAACTAATGTTATCAAATGTATTTGTCTAAGATACATTTCTAAAATTAAAAAAAAATCAATACGTGTTTAAAAAATAGAGAAGAAATTAAACAAATCCGGCCATAAAGTTCGTATCTAATTCTGAACTAGGATGTTATAGCTGGAAATAATCGCTCGGCTAACCAACATAATAACTCATTTTAATCCTTTTTTTTGGTATTTTAGCCATAGGTGGTCGAGTAAAAATTTTTGAGTTGCTTACAGGGTTTTACTATCTAACCACAGAAAATGCCATTGCATTTTTCACTTTCTATACTTTTGGTAAATAATTTTTATTTGAACTATTTGGAATAACATTATTCATCTGAACCCCGAGTCTAAACTACGGGTCTGTACCCCGGGTCTAAACCATGAGTCTAAACCATAGGTCTGAACCTCGAGTATACACAACGTGACTGAACCTAGGGTCTAAACCATGTGTCTGAACCACGGGTCTGAACCCCAGGTCTAAACCAAGGGTCTGTACTCCATGTCTAAACCACGAGTCTGAACCCCGAGTCTAAACCATGGGTCTGAACCCTTAGTTTAACGGGTGTGGACCCCGGGTTAAAACCACGGGTCTGGAGCTGGACCCCGTGTCTGTGTCCCGGGTTTGTGCTCAGAGCATCTTGAGAACGACCAAGAAATATTACAAAACTACCCTCTATCAAAGTAAATATGCTTCTGTTGAAACAAAAGTAATTGTCATCTTTTTCAATGTATGAATTTGTTGTCACATTTTCTACAAATATTTAATAAAAATTAAGACTTAGTTTATTAATAAGTCTCGATGGTGTTCTTTTTCATTGTCATCGTCAGTACATCGATTATTTAAAATAGGGGTGAGAAACCATAGTCAAAGGCCTTTTTAAAATCATTAAATATATCTAAATCTTCTATTAAAAGATCCTTTTATTGGAATAGCTAACGGTTGGCCAAAATGCAGATTTGTTTGAATTAAAAAAATTTTTTAAGAGAATAATTTTTTTGTGCCTCCTCCTGCCCTGCCACGATAATTTTATTCTGTTAAGGAATAAATTTATTTTAAAAAAATTATAAATAATCAAATCATAATTCAAATTAATATCTTTTTACAGTCTCAATTAGTGACCATGCTTGAGACAAAATTTTTTGAACCGACCTGACCAATAGGAAAAAAAACATTCCAACCCAAGTTCTTTTTTAAATTCTAAAAAATAATCACAAAATCTCGACCAAACCCACCGAGTTTGCAGACCTATAATTTTATTCATTTTAATACTAAAATGGTTAAATAATGATGAGAAACAAACTGGAATTAGAAACAACTGTTGGATCAATAGCCGCGTTCCATTCATGTTCCATAATTTTCCCTAAGTTCCATTCCCGAAATGTGTTTGGAAAGTATGGCTATTGACCAAATTCAGTCAATTATTCAATTATATTTCCAAAGCCGTAACTATGACAGGAAAGGGGGAAGGGCATTGGAATTTTTTTTTAAACATAATATTGCAAAATTGTTTTTTATAGCGTTTTAAGCTAAAAAGATTACAGAATTAATTTAACGAAATAAGAAATTTTCTGAAAAAATGCCATCCTCCTCATCCAACTGTTTCTCAGGAAAACGTTCTTATTTACAGTCCTATATGTAGTCGAAAAAAATAAAAATATTTTTAAATTTCTTATCTTGCTAAAATTTATTCAAGCCATGAAAATTTTCAAAAAGGTTTTAAGATCTGGCCCGACCAGTAAGCCAAGTTCGGCCTGCAAAAAATTTTTCCCAAATTGTCAAGTCCGGGCCTTATTAATTTTTTCATGTGAAGGTTTGCCTATTTCTAAGTTTTAAAATTTTTTGTGAACATCAAGGCTGGTCCATAAAAATATTTTGCACAATATAATTAAATAATATAAATAATACATAGTATAAAATAAACAGAAAATATTCATGTAATCGTAATATATTTTTAAAAAAATCTTGTTCTTCACTTCTAGCTTGCGCACAAGTTATGATTCCACATATTTCGCTAGGTTAGAAAACTTATGCTTATTCAGTTTATTTAGACAGATTTTATTTCATCATTTTCCGAATCCCTAAATTTATCGAATAAAGTAAAAATGATGAACGTTTACATGATGTTTCTAAATTATCCCAAATTCTTCCAACTAGGCACGGTGCTAATATCAATGGGTTTTCGGTTGTCATAAAGTGTGGGAGCTTGTAAGATAATACCACAAGTGCCCAAAACGCAAGATATGGTAAAAATCCATAGAAAAAGTCGATCGAGGACCATTGCTATATATTTCCAGTCTTCTTTGATCTTTAGATTAATACAAAAAATATTTATTAGTATATTTCTATAGTATTAATTTCATCTTGAAAATAAAATATTCTTAGTTTATTTTTTTAAGTGATCAGATCACAAGAAAAAATAAAATAAACTACAATTAAAGTTTTCGCTGGTGCAAATTTAGGATAAAATATAAAAGTTTTAAAATTTTAATTTCCATTACTATATTTTCATATAGTTGTGTAGCTATCTTTATTGATATTAAAAAAAATAATTATTATAATTATTCGAATAAATTATTTATTCACATTCAAACGAATTGATTAATTTACTATTCCTATTTAATTATTATCTGAATTATTCGATTCTTACTTATATATTTATATAAAAGGAAGAAAAAATTTTATATTTTAATTTTGGCTTGTGATAGATGAAAATGACGAGAAACTTTAAAGAATATAGTATAAAGGGAAAATAATAAATTATATTTATAAACAATTGTTATTCTGTTATACCTGTTGGCATTCATCTTCATGCCTTAAATGCTCGGCTATAAAGTGTATTCCTTCTATAGCTAATTCGACTTCAGAATTGGGATATTTGTCGAAATCAAAGCTTTCATCGAAGGAGGAAATTTTTGGGCCCAGGCTTTCATCTTTTGACAATTGGGGTCTTTAAAAAATAAATGTTTTACTATTAATAAGCTTTTTGAGTATTAACTTTCTCATAAGTTATATAATATATGTTAGGGTCAATGTGTTTTCTCTATAAACGTGTTATTTTTTTCAAAATTAAATCATTTATTGTTTTTTAATTTTAAAATTTGATTTAAGTAAATGTATTTCAGCAGGTTTAGAATGTTTATTTACCCTTTATAAGTATTATTTTGCTCTGAACTGTTAAATCATTTCTAATTTATATTTTAAAATATATTTATATAATTAGAGTAATTCAAAAGTTACCTATAAAATTGCTGAAATTTACAGTTGTGGTATACATTTGTGGTAAAATCAGATTTTTATAAATTTAAAAATCTCCCTCAATAAAATATTTAAAATTGAGAGATTCCAAATTCCCGGTGGATTTCTAAACCCTATTATGATGTATAATTATTATATATAGATTTTTTTTTACAAATAAGGCATTATAGATAACATTCTTAAAAGATACTTTTATGCACTTATACTCCATTAGGTCTCTATAACCAAAAATAATAAAATAATCAAAAATATTGACTCTTTTGTTGTTACTTTTGGTGCTCGCTTTTCATTTGCTCCTAATTTTTTTTTTTTTAAATTTAATTTTTTTGGTTCGACAAAGATTTTATTACTTTTTGAAATAAGATCGATTTCTATATTATATATTTAAAAAAAATTAAGTAATTGATTTCAATTTATTACTCTTTGGCGGACCTTTCCGATTTTTATCTAAATTTTTTTTAGTAAAAAATCTTTTTCAAGATTGTTTTTTAATTTAGTATTCTTTCAAGACTAAAATTGAACTAATTAAGAAAAATTCACTTTTAATTTGGAAATGAACCATAACTTTTTGATTGGTCTAAAAATTATTACAACTATAAAATTTGATATAAATAACATTAAAATTATCAAAGAAAAAAATACTTATCAATTTTTATTAGAAAATAAATATTATATTTTTAAAAATAAAACTATCGAAATTAGTAGATTAAATTATTCGCCCTATTTTCTAATATAATAATTTTTGGATTAATTTTGTTTTTTAATGCTTTGTCATCCTTTTGGGTTTTTTGTTTTGATTTTTTTTTGTTCTGCCTTTGGTTAATAACAATTTTTTGCTAGAGCCTTCTTTACTACGATTGTTAAAAAGCCGGATTCGGGTAGATTTATAAAAACGTCCCGATAAGATTTTAGTCAAAATAATATTATGCAAGCCTCGAGATTTGCCAAATAAAGGTCCAAACCTTTCTGCCATCTATGAGCAAAATCTCCAGGCTTGCATAATATTATTTTGGTTAAAATCTTAATTGGGTCGTTTTTAAAAATTCTACTCTCTACATTTTATTTTTTATCATTTGATATATTATATTTCTTTAAACCAAAAATTGAATCAAAAAGTATAAATTTTTATAAGTCAACGAACTAAACCGTATCCCAAAAATTAATGATATGATGGATCAGAATTTACAGAGATTATAAAAATCGAAATAAATAAGCCCTCTGACCTCCCATATGCAGATTTATTTGCCTCCATTATTTTTATAGTTTGTATTTATTGTACCATACTAAAAGCCATTTACTAAAATGGAAGGTAGAAATTTCATAGAATTTCATCTTAACTTAAATATTCTGCTTTTAAAATTTTTTAATTGCTTTTAGTTAATTTTTTGGTGGGAAATTAGCAGTACTTTATTTATTTTTTGTCAATATCACATCTTCTAATTCTGCTGCCAACCGGATTAAAGCCCTTAATATTGGCATATTTTTTTATAATTATAATGCCTTAAGGTTTTGCCACCATGCGATGATACAGTGTTAGTAGAGCACATTAAACAACATTTAAAAAAATTATTTTATAAAGTACTTATTTAAGTTTAGTAATCAAGTTATAATGTTATAAAATCCTTTTCAACCTGTTTCTAAAGCCACCATAACCATATTTATAAAACTCATTCGGATCTCCTCCTATACTTTCACCGTGTTCATCAGTCGTTCTCATGTAACTCGTATCATCATCTATATAACGTCTAGTGTTTGGTCTATATTTGTTATCCCCGAACATATTGAGATGGGGGGAGGGGGTAATGAGTCAATTTAAAAAATACTATTGCAAATATAATAAAGGTGCTGCTCTCTATTCTATTAAGGGGGGAGGGAATATCTTCATTGAAATTTTATAGGATTTATTGCAAGTATGCAGATAGTTATTTTTTTATTTAATATATTTTTTTGTCCTATGCAAATTGTTTCTTTTATTATTTTATTTAATTTTTGTACTGATGCAAATAACTTTTATTTATAAAATTAAAATAAGGATAGTTATTATTAGGAAATTAAAATTTTAATAAGTATTGTCTGTAAAAATATTAGTTATATTTTGATAAATATATAATTTTATTTTATAATAGACATGTAAAATATTATATTTATATTTATTATTATTAGAATTAGAATTTAAAAATTGCAAGTGATAATGAATTCAAATTGCAAAAACGAAGATAATATATATACATAGCGAGCGAAAAATATGTTTCGATCGTTTTTTAATAATCTTAATTGATTAATTTTGTAGTTATAATTTAATTTAATTCGTCTACCATTGACTTCAAAACAGGTGTAAAAGAATATTAATAAAAAATATATAACCTAAGAAATATAAGGATCACAACAGAAATCTAATTTAATTAATTTTATAATATTCAATCCGTAAATAAATTTAGGATCAATTTTGGAAAAATAGGCATTTCACAATAATTATAATTTATATTTTCATGAATAAATCTTAAAATTTAAGTATAATTAATTATAATAATAAAAAAAATTAATGGTAAATTAACCTAAATAATATATTTATTTTACCATAAATTTAATTAAAATAATGGGGGGAAACATATTTACTGACAAATCAACAGAGTTGTTAAAGTAGCGCGCTAGTTAGCGCGATCTTTCTTGGTAGCTATAGCTAATGCGCTACTTAGTTACTTTCAAAAAATATAATGAAGGTAAGTATAAACATGAAAATTTAAATATAATATCATAATTAATTATAATTTTTATGATTTATTATTTAATTTTGAAATTGAAATATATTTTCAATTTGTAATTTATATTTTCATTTGTATTTTAAACCTAAATCACGTGTTAATAATTTTAAATGTCATCGCCTATGGATATTCAAATCGTTGAAAGTGATTCAGACAATGATATTTGAAATTTTTTTTAAAATAAATATAAAAACCAAAACTGGCTTCAAATTTGTTTAAAATGTAAAAAAAAATTTCCTCAAATCAATCCAGTTATAACCTCAAGAAACACTTAAAGGTAAATTGTCATTTTTACACACTAATAGTATTTATTTTATAAGACTGTTCATGCCAATAGTTTTAAGGAAATGGAGAAACATCTAAATAATTTTGGCATAGCGACTCTACAACCAAAAAGACTAATTCAATTCAAACTAAATTAATTAATAATACAAATGCCAATATTTCTCAGAAATTGGCTGATAAAGTTATTGTTGATTTTATAATTGATACAGTACAGCCAATGTCATTGGTTGATAATCCATCATTTACCATGATGATAAAACTCTATCCCCTTGTACAACAATTTTATGTCGCCAGACACTAATGAATAAAATAGCAGATAACTTTAAAGTGATGAAAGATGCTCTAATAGTAGAGTTATCAGAGATAATCTTTTCTAACACATTGCTAACATAGTTTAATTGATCTTAAATTATTTCCTCACACTCCATTTTAAATTTGTATTTTCTCATTCTCAGAAATAGACTAAGGAATTGCATTTTTACTCAGATCAGAGTCACATCAACAACACATATAAGAAATATTCTATTGATTTTTATTATAATTAAAATAAATTTGGAATGCAAGCAAAATATAAAGTATGAAATATAATAAGTTAGAATTCAGATTTAGCAAAATTATAATTGTCATGAATAAACAGTATTTTATCGAGATTTGTGGGACATAAAGAAGTCCTTTTAGCATTGAGTATTAATCCAGCAATGGAAAAATTTTTTTCGCTGGGTGTACTGGTTGGGTATACAAAGAACCATCCTAGCTAAATTAGCAAGCATAGGAAGTTCCAGTCGCTTTTTCTTCCAAAAGATTAATGCATTCTTTTCTGGGATATTGTTTTAGCTGAGCAAAATATGACATTCTTGTTCTAGATTACTAATATTGTTATAATCATTACTTGGAAGGGAATGTTTATGAGCTAATTTAGCTATATAAGAGCTTTATGTTTAACCATTATCCTCAACTTGAATTTCACTCTGTGTATTTCTATCATGCTCTAAAGTTTTGTCGAATTAAAAATTGCAATGTTGTCGTAGAATTCGAATTTAAATATTCTCAAACAACTTTAAGATTTTGAAATCTGGGATCAAGTAGAGTTGCTAATATCTAATGTTTAATATATAATTATATTAATAAAAATATAAAATAACTTGAAGTTCAGTAATGGGAAACCTATGTGTTGTAGCTGTTGAAAAAAAAAAGAAATAAATTTAATATAATACATCAAATGTCAGTTATTTTCTGACAGGGGAATTAATTTTCCTGGTGGATGGGAGAAAAACGAAATGATCACATGGGTTGTTTTTAGAAAAGAACAATAAAAGTTTCTTTGTTTGCGATTTGAAGTGAAGAAGACATGATATTGGATGAAGACGGGATTGATTGGGAAGATTTAATATGTTTATGAAATATAATGTTATATGTTTTGACAAATAAAGAGGATTTGTAGTAATGTTTATTATATTTATTTAATATTATTAAAAGGATCGTTTTGGATTGTTAAGTTATATTTTTGAGAGTAAGGGGCTTTTTTTTCAATACTATGGTCAAGCTTTTTTTCAAATTTTCTTTTAAGCATATAATATCTGAGCAATCAGATATATTGATTTGTATATGAGCTTCTATTTCACTGCGAAATAATAACCCTAAGTTTATTGTCGATCCTTTTTAGGAGGAAAGAAATTCCACCGACTCTCGGAATGGATTTAATACTGCGTAAAGCTCATCAATCATATCCCATTCATTATTAAAAAGTTTTAAAGATTGTTTTCCTATTTTATTTAGAACATTATTTATAGGAATTTTGTCTACACTGCGAACACTTTCTAGCATAATTAATATGCTATGCCAGCGGGTAGGGCAATTTAATTTAAAAGTTTTGCATTAATTAGATTGGTTGGTGAAATGCCATTTCTATTATCCGATTCATCAGACATATTAAAATGGTCATCAAGGTATGGATCAGAATCATCAATATCCAAGATATTACCTGTCTCATAAATTGACTGCAGACATTTATATGTTCACCTCAATTTCACATTCTAAATCAGCTACTCGATATCTAAGGGCTGAAATAATTTCTCTAATTTTTTTAATGAGAATATCAATTTTGGTAACTTTTTTTATGCCATCAACTGTAACCAAATTATGAAGTCCATGCCCTAAGCATAAATGATGCTCATAATCCCTAATCTGACGCTTCTTTTAACATTGGCCCCAGCTACCATTTGTATTATTTTGGCTTTTAAATGGAACTCCTCTTCAATACTATCAATCTCAGATAATATTGTTTCCCCAGTATGCTTTTGAGTCACTTTCCAGTTGCTAAAGTAAAATATTTTAAATAAAAATTTCCATTTAAATGATGAAGACTAAATGTGATATAATTTCGACGCTTGAAATGATCGGTTCATAAATCAAAAGTGATACAACAAAATTTTGGTCCAGAATCAATCAGATTTAAAACATTGGCCTTTATAGACAAATAAACATCGTCTAGTGCACCCCGACTAATGGTTGTCCTATTTGGCAATTATCTTATATTTCTATTTTTTAGGCAATTTATTTTTTAATAATCATTTTATATAAATTTTAAACCTTTAGAAAATCTGTGATTCCTTTATTGTTTATAGAATCAAATGGTATTAACTCTAATCAGCACAAAACATAATTTCGCCCTATTAGATTTGATATTTATTTTAAACATTAAAAAGATATTTAAAAAACATCAAAATAATTAGAGCTGGAATGAAACAAATTATAAATTAGATTTAGTTTTAACTTTAAAAATAAAGCTTTACATAATTAATTTAATAAATTATATATTAAGTTAAGCTTATACTTTAAAAAGATATTTAAAAACAAAATAATTAGAGCTGGAATGAAAAAAATTATAAATTTGATTTAGTTTTAACTTTCTAAAATAAAGATTTAAACAGTTAATTTAATAAATTATATATTAAGTAATACTTTATAAAGATATTTAAAAAACATCAAAATAATTAGAGCTGGAATGAAATAAATTATAAATTTGATTTAGTTTTAACTTATAAAATAAAGTTTTACATAATTAATTTAATAAATTATATATAAAGTTTATACATTAAAAAGACATTTAAAAAACATAATAATTAGAGTTGGAATGAAAGAAATTATGAATTTGATTTAGTACTAACTTTTAAAATAAAGTTTTACATAATTAATTTATTAAATTATATATTAAGTTTATAATATTTATTCTATCCTAATTTCACCAGAAGACAAATTTATTTAAGATTAGATTAAAAAGATCTCAAAATAGAGCTGGCAATAAATAAACTAGAACTTTCAAAATAAAGCTTAATAAAATTAATTTAACAAACCAGTTAAAAATTTTAAATGAATAATAATAATAAACAATAATACTAACCTAAAAGCCATTTATCTTTTATATTGTTGCTGCATTTTGGTGTTGGCTTTAAAAACATCTTTAGACTTTGAATGGATTTATTATTATTTATTTTTTCTGAAAGTTTGTGATAATTAATTAAGTACCGAGATAGATTACTTGTACTTATATTTTTACTAAAACTTTTTATTTCATAACTAAAATATAAAAAATATATAAATATAAGTCTAAAAAAAAATAAATTATTGTGAAAATGAATTATGTTTATTCGAATCTTCTTCATCTTTTTCCGCCAATTTTAAGCAAGGTTCACAATAAATATAATCAGGCATTATTGTGCTTTTCTTATTTTCATTCTTCAAAATAAGATTTCCAAAGTACCTCGAGACATAACTTGATTCATGATTAGTAGAGAGAGTTGTTATTTTATAATTGTATATAGGGTGGTTTAAAACGTGCAAGTCCATAAAAATAATTAATATGAATTGTTTGTGGAAATAAAATATGAGGTATGAATGAATGTAAATGATATACACTAGTCTATTATATATCGCAATAGAATACAATTTATATTTTAATTTTATTAATGTTAGTATTCAAATTAAAATAATAATAATTTAATATATAAATATAATTAATATGCTTTCTAAAAATTACACACGCCGCGCCGCTACCATAACAAAAAGGCTTTTCCGGCGTGAATAAAAATACCGGTGGCACCGGAGTGAGCCGGCGGCGCACAGGTCTACCCGAAGGACGAGCTTGCAGGTCTTTGAAAAAAAAACATACCTAAGAAGTACAACTTCTGAAAGTAGATTGAATGGTATGGATCTTTTGAATATTCATATGCATTTGACGCCAAGCAAGGATGACATAATTGAAAAATTAGCTCAATCCCAATGAAGATTGTATTTTACATTGTAAATATATAACATAAAAAATACAATTAACTTTTTGTATATTAATTTATATTTTCAACATTTAAATTTTTTATACTTTATATATAAATTTTAAAGGCTCAAAAAATTCTTTCTATTTTGGGTCATTTAAGTGATTCATATGGTAGTTATATTCACTTTAAATTTTATAATTCACATTTATTTTATAGTTTTTCATATGCCGCCAGTTATATCCAATTCACCTTTATTTTATAGTTTTTTATATGCCAGTTTATATATATAATTTTTTTCTAATTCACATTAATATAAAATTGTGTATTAGAAATAGTTATTAGTCCTAATAAATGTATGCTTGATATTTTTAAATAACAATAATATTTCTTAAAAGAATTTATTATCCCCCCGCCCCCCCCTTCACACCAAATTCCTGCGTACGGGCTTACATTTATATGTAAGCAAATGGCAAAATTTTTAAGCTCGGCCCGGTTGGAAATCCAGTCTGGCCACTCCAAATTTGTACCTGCCCTGCCAGTTTTATTTTTTTTTATTAAGAAGGCCATGCAAATATTTAACTACCTAATATTGTAAAATATATTTGATCTTGCAATAATGGTAGATTATTAAATTTAAGTGTCTAAAATATTTTATATGTTTCAATACCAGTCATTTATTTATACAATTACAATATACTATGGACAACTTATAATTATTGAATGGAAATGACTAGGAGTAATAAAAAAAAGATATTTTTGATTGCTGGCACTCTAAAATAGCAAAATACAAAAATATTTAAAATGGTAATTGATTGATAATACACTTTAAAAGAGTTAAAATTTTTAAATTCAGACTGGTTCACATACCTTTTTAATCGATTCAGGTTCGGTTTAGGTTCAATTAACGACGTAATACTTGTGTACAAAGTTCTGTTTGATTCCTTAATTTTTTCCTTCCAAAATTTTCATTCTTTTAAAAAGAAATAAATCAATTTATAAATAGGTTTTAAGGGTAAAAATTTGGTCACAACTTTGGTTGTTTATTTGTACGAAATATTTATAAATAAATATATAATTAAAAATAAGCGAACCCCAAATTATGAATTTTGCGTTTGGGACCGAAACCGTAACCCATCCTCGAACCAGAACCAGAGCCGGAAGAATTGACGGGAGATTTATTAGACTTATTGGATCCATTGCTGGTGTTTTGGTCCCTGGGAGGTCTTCTCATCATCAAAAGCTTTGGTAGAATCTTCAAAAATATCGTTCTAACCCATGGAGACATTTTTTTGTGGGTAGCGGGAGTTCGAAAGTGAACGTTGAGTACTATAACGGTCACAAATATAGAAAGGGTGACTAGGATCATAGTAAACAATAAGTATTTGCCAATCAAGGGAACTACGAGGCTAGTAGGAGGTATGATTTCTGCTAGAAGCAAGAAAAAAACAGTCAGGGATAGAAGTATAGATATACAGAGCGTTATTTTTTCGCCTGTGTCCGAGGGTAAATAGAAGACAAGAACAGCTAGGAAGGATATTCCTGTAATTTCAAATTATATTTTTTTTGTTTTAAATATATTTAATAAGTTTATAGCCGTTGATTAATAAATTTAAAAAATGTAACTTAACTGTTATATTCATTTTACAAAAACGATATAAGATGTAAAATATTTTCAGCATGATCATAATTTTAGTCTAAACATTTGCAGACTAGATACGTATCAAATGTTAAAAAAAGGTATACAAAATAGAGATGATCAGGAGATAATGCAATGAATCTACCTACCTACACATGGAATAATGAGATTAACGGTATAAAACAAAGTTTTCCGTCGAATGGTGATATTAAACGTTATATCAGGGTAAGGTTCCGCGCAACATGGATAATATTTATTTGTTTTACGCGCTGGAACAGCCAATAGGTCCCATTCAACGCTGGGATAATATTCTGAAAGATCTATTCCGTACTCGTAATAATCTTTATCTTTAACCGGAACTTTTGTGGAAACGTTACTAAATTTCACAAGGGACGTGGAGTTTGGATCACCCGATGCAAGGAAAGTAGTTTTTTCGGATGGCGATGACGCTATAGCCATCATATCGATATGAGCTATATCCACCTTTTGATATATCCGTATATAAATTTAGTTTTAAATTTTTTTAAATGGCGCCAAGGAGTAAAGTTGACTTTAATCGTATAATTTTAGTTTGCGCAAGCCAATATTAAATCCTAATTTGTTTGACCATATAATAGTATATGTGCATTTAAATTGGTTTCATAAAACCTCTGCAAATAATTTAAAACCCGACGAAGCTTGAAAAATCAACATTGTTTAAAATTAAGGGTCGAAAGATGTTAGACATTGATTTCTATTAATTTAAAAATACACTAAAACTTTGTTTAATTTGAGATCTTTATACTCCGATTTCCAATTTGAGCAAATAACTTTTGTCTGTGATTAATAAATTAAGCAAAATATCATCATTTTAGATCAATCTAAGAGAAAATGACAGGTTCCCTTAAATATTTAAATTATATACATATTTTGGTTGCATCAATGCAGCTTTTGGTAAAGACGTTAAGCTAGTATATATACTTGATAGCCATCATAAGTCCAGGACCCAAATTTCATGCTACAAAGTTGTTGATCAAAGGGGAAATATTCCACATCGATCGGACAATAACTTTTGTATATGGCTGGTGGTTCCCATAATACTCTGCCACTGAAATGCAAGGTTGCTTTCGTCATTAGCGTTATTTCGTAATTGCCATCCGCACTTAATTTTTATTAATTATAAAAAATAGGAGTGAATAAAATAATAGAAACAATATAATAATTTGCTTATGTGTATCTTTAGACTAGTTATGAAAAATTAACAAAAAAAATATCTATATAATAAGCTTGACCAATTACTAAAATAATACGGAAATTTTAAAGGAACAATTATATATAATATTAGTGATTGTCTTATGACCTGAGCAGTATGTGCAATCAGCAAGAATGTGAATATCTTATTAAATTGTCTAAAATTGGAAAATAGAAAAATAATTTTGCTGAGCGCGTTTTTTAAATTTGAAGATCTATGAATTTCTAGACAATTTAGTAATGAACTTGTTATTTTAATTTGTATATGTTAGTGTCGGTAATAGAAACCCACGGAAAGAAACCCTGAAAAAAATACCCCCGGAAAAAATACTCCCAGAAAATAAACCCCCAGGAAAAAAAAACCTGGAAAAAAACTCCCGGATTTTTTTTTCATATTTATAGAATTTGTCACATGAAGCAATTCTCAATTCCAAACACGCCTCGATTGCCTCCAGAAACTTGGAACGTGAATCAGATCACTCTATCCGACAAAGAACGCACAAATAATCAATGCGAAGGTTGGAATCATCATTTTTTTTTCTAATCCAGTTGGAAATAAACACCCATCAATTTGGGTATTGATTAAAAAAAATGGAATGGTGGCTACGGATGAAACCAAACTTGAGTGTAGATAGCTGGACACCAAAATTAAATCGCAGAGCTATAATGCCCAGATTCGGTTAAAGAAACTTTGCAAGGAATACCGTTATGGGGTGCGAAACCTTCCAGATTTTATAAGAGCGATTTCCTTCAATATTCGACATCGATCAATATAATTATTATTTAAATTATTAAATTTGTATATACATAATCATGATTTACCAATAAAATATATATATTTTATTACAAAATTTTGTCAAATTTAGTCTACTTAATATCGTAATTAAGGATGGATTTTGTATTAATTACTATAGCAAATAATCTTTACGAAAATAAGAAATACATGGGTTATTTTACTGGGGTATTTTTTCCCATTACCAATTTGAACTTCAGCATTTTATCTTGTTAAAGCGAGTAATCTTTAAATGATGAATTAGGGCCTAAAAAAATTTAGCTTATTAATATATTATATTTTTATAATAATATTTTTTTCTAAAATACTAATTTGTATATACATTATAAATAAAGTATATCCATTATAATCCAAATAAAAATATATCTATATTATTAGGTCTTAAGTAAATTCTATAAATATGGAAAAAAAATCCAGGAGTTTTTTTCCGAAGGTATTTTTCCTGAGGGCTTTTTTCCGGGGGTATATTTCCCTGTTTATTTTCCAGGGGTTTTTTTCCGGGATTCGTTGCGTAAATGTGTTTTTTCCTGCAATGTGTTATTTTTACAACTTTAAATCATTTTTAGAGAGCGTTTTATAAAATTTAAAAATCTGATTATACCGAAAATATATTCCATCATATTTAGAAAACCTATCTTATGAATTGTAGACAATTTTGCTGTTAGCCTTTAAGTCATTTATAATTTATATAAAAATATATGGGAAATTTAATATAAATTATATTAAGTTTGAAAGTTCATGGAAAATTCATAGGATAGGTATTCCCAAACATGACATCCTACATTTCCTTAAAGTTGAAAAAATAACACATTGCCGGAAAAAACACATTGATGCTAACATATATATTAAAATTACACAAAAATTATGCACATTGTCACTAATATAATATATTGCTTTTATATAATAGTCGTTTATTTACTTGTTATATAAAACTATGTCTGGTAACCATATTTTCTCCGATGGTATATGAAGCTTTTCAACGCCTCCGTATTCTTTGGGGTCCCAGACTAATTTGTAGTCAAACCATTCCTTATAGAATTTTAAAAATAATTCAAAATCGTTATTTATTTCCTTATTAAGGTTTGAAGAAATGGCCGTTATCAGAATAAAATCCTTAAATATATATTTTTACCTGTCTGACCCACATATTAGTTGTCATTATTTGGTCTTTTTCGTGCTTTATTATTGTTTTTAAAATAATTATATTTTAATTATATATTAAATGTTTCATAGAGCTTAGTTATTTAAAATGACTATTTTTTAAATATTCAATTAATCATGTAAATGGACTAATGAGGCGGTTATAATAATACTCCATTCCATCTTTGTACAACTCAATTTTTTTTTAATACTGAAATTCAATGGATATAAAGGGAAAAAACTATGCTATTCTCCTTTTCTCCAGCCAGAGAGAATTGTTGAGTAGATTCCATAACCTTTCAAATTAGTAACCTAATTCTTTCATATGGAGAGCATAAATCTTTGGAAAATTGCAAATAATTTTTTTAAAAAAATGTTTAGTTTTTCGTTTAATAGACCTTTTGCTAATGTTTATAGGTAATTTTTAAAAATATTGTATCACTTTGATTATTATAGTGGTCTATCTTCATGATTTCTTTCATTTATTTCCATATTTATATTCAATCCTCAAACCCCTTGAAAATCTGAAGCCCCTGAGAATTTGGAAAATTTTAAAAATTAAAAAAGGTCATAAACAATAAATTAAAAAAAAAATTGAGAACGTTGAGATTGCAAAGACTAGTGACGTCACTGCCCTTTTCTAAATAAAATATTTGCTCAAAGTGGATATTAAACACAATATAAATCAAAATATCTATAATTATTGAAAGTTGTTTTGTTTGTATGAGTTTTACCCATTATAGCGATAGGTAATCTGAAATTCCCCCTATCTTAATTTTTAAAATGATGTTCTCATTTTTTAAAATTAAAGTAAATGTAATTAACAAATTTTTAGTTACCAACTACTATACGAATTTTCCAAAAAAATCACCAAACTAAAATTTCTAAAATTTCCCACTAAATTATTTAAAAAAAAAAAAATTATTTAAGGCGTCCTGAACCAGAGGTCTACAAGGGGCAGGTTTTTAAACCGCCAGTCCACGCTCACTCATACTTTGAACGAGTGTAGACAGGTGGGTTTATGATCATTTAAACATGGAAGGGGATTAATGGGCCGATTAAAAATATTTTTAAAACAATGGGTAAGCTGGCGGGTGAATTTGAAATATATTTACGGGGAAATAAACAGAACGAGTTGATATTTATTAAAAATTATTTTTTTCGTAATATAGAAATAAATTGGCGGGTGGGTAAATTTTTTTAAGAAACTATGGGTGCTAGTGAAAGGGTTAAGTTTTTTAAAACATTGAGTGAGCGGGCTTTCGGGTCGATAATTGCATTCTTTTACTCTAGACCCAAGTCTTTGACTTAGAAGCCTCCTCTCTCTAACATTAATGATGTGGACAACCACCCCCTTTTCGATATTATTTTTATCTTACATGATGCAGTGATACTTTCAGCATCTACTTTTTTATAATTTTGTTTTATTGTGGTAATTATAGTAAGAATAAAATATTGATAAAGAAAGTTGTTAAAGATAGAGTAATACCTGTCTAATTTTGGCAACGTTAGAAACAAAATTTTTGCCCAACAGACAATTGCCCAATTTATCAAGATAATAGCAGTTAATAGGAATTTGATACTCAAAATTTTGGTAAAATTAGGTAGTTTCGAATTAATAAGTGCCAATATTAGACAGGTTTTAGTATATAGAAATGTTTTGCAACAAATCATATTATTAATACATTGTTTCTTAGAAAAGTAAATCAGCCTTAACGTAAGGTAAGATAATATTTAAAAATTTATAAAATAAATAAAATATTTCGATTGAAAACCGCGGAGGAAATCTACAAAGTATATATCCTTCTCAATTCTCACTATCAGAGCTTTTTCAATATCTTAGGCTCGCTACAGTCCATCCGTCCAGGGCTCTCCTTAAATATACGACAATATTTTTCTATTTAAATAAATATATTATACTTTCAATTAAATATCACTATCCTGTGCTGTCTATCTATCATAAATAAATACTAAATATTTGTATAAATTAATTATATTTTATTGTTTGCGAAGCATTGCTACATCCAATAACACCATTAATTTTAATATTATATGAATTATTCATTAATCAAGTATTATATTATTATATACTATATTGATATATTAAAACGACATAGGTCTATCTATTCCTTATTCTCTCTCTTCCTTTTTTTAAAGAATAAATATTAAAAAAAATAACGAAAAAAACAATCTCATCAAAAAAATATTTTGTTTAATTTTTTAAAAAAAATGTAACTTCTATATTTTGGCTATTTTTTGAAAGATTTTATTGCATTATATATTGTTATATCTCATAAAATTTTCAGATATATTATTAGATATGAATAATTGATTGATTATGCTTAGTGGCATAACCAAGTAGGGTAAGGGGTGGCGGCACATCCCCCCATTTCAATTTTACATTTTTCAAGCTTTCATGAGTATTATTTTAATGTAATAAAAATTATTCCCCTACACTGTCATTATAAACAATAAGCATATAGTTAATAAGTTTTAAAAATAATTACTCTACTCAAATGGAAACCGGGAATAAATGGGCATGTTTTTGTTAGTGACAAATAAACCTGTGTTGCCTAGCCATACAATTTTATTTAAACAGTTTATCACTAATATACTATAAAGTTATACTATAGTCATAGACTTAACTTACCGAAATCAAGCCGAAACTGATATTTTTATTTGAATAGAACCCATATTCGTTTAGATTCAGTCCTGGCTTAAATTAATCATTACTTTTTATAAATAAAACCTGTAATTATAATAAAGAAATATAGTTAAAAATATTTTACATTATGATTGTTATGATCAGTTCACTGGTTAGTCACAATGGCCTTCATATGGTGTTAAAAGAAACAGCTAAGTTCCGATTTTTTGTAAATATATAGCTTAGTTTGAGTAGTGCTGTTAAACGGCTTGATTTTAGCTGATTTTTAAAAACAGCCAACTCAATATTTTATCCAGAAAAATATTACGTAATCCTTGTTTGCGCATCCACAAAGATTTGGACATCCATTAGCGAAATTTCTAGACTTAGGCAATATTTTTGTGGCTAAAACATTGAGTTAGCACTTTAAATATAATCGACATTTAGTAACATTAAGATTGAGTACTAAAAATTCAAAGTATTTTTTTTTTATTAGATGAATCAATAATAAATGAAGTTAGGTAGGGTACGGCACTTTGTTTAACTAAAAATATTTGGATAAATATCTGAGAAGTTAGAGGGAGTGGACAGTAAACCTTTATGTCCTATTATTCCTGGTATCTTTTAATCAGGACCACAATTAATTGGGTGCACTGGAGGAGGGCATTTTTTTTAAATTACATATTTCGATCATATTCTTTATGTTATCCTTTTTTTTCTCATGCTACTCGGTTTCGTTTTATGGGATTCGTAAATAGGTTCAGAAATGACTAATTAGATATTATATTACTAGTTGATAACCCGTCAAGAATGACGGGAATGATAAAATCTTGAACTTTTATATGAAATTTTTTTTAAAATAAATGACAATTTTTATTATTCATTTTATTAAATTTAGCCTAAAATATATGAAATTGTAATAAAAAATGTAGGGTAGATATAGATAAATTGGTATTGTATGTCATTTCCAGAGTTCAAATATTGTTGTTGAGATAAAATTTTTATACTGGCATATTTTGGGGTGGTAATATGAGATAAATGTTTATTTTTCAATTGGCTAAATATAATTTAAATTTATTTGTTAAATCTAAATTGTAATATTAGGATTAGTGAGGGAGGTTAATTTTCTAGCATGGAAGATATTGATAAATAGGTATTTTATATTGAGATAAAAAAAATTTACTGCCATATTTTGGGGTGGTAAATAATTTAAATTTATTTGTTAAATCTAAATTGTAATATAAAAATAATTTTAAAAATTTAATACTTTTGAATATAAATATTATGCTAAAATAATATGAGATAAATGTTTATTTTTCAATTGGCTAAATATAATTTAATTTACTATTTTAAATTTAATAATATTCATTCTTATCTTACCATAATTTGAGGTGAGATTAGTATTCTTTTTAATATAACACAATAAGATCTAAATTATATAAATTAATTGAAAAATAAATAAATTTATTAAAGAAGGTGGTGTGGAAAGAACCTTTGCCTTTAAAACGTTAAGTCATAGGTTCGAATCCCGTGATGTACAAAAAATTTTCTTAAAATTTAACACTAGAGATATATAGTCTCCAGCGATTTATTTAACATTAAGAAGATAGGAAAGTTAATAGAAAAAATAAAAATTAACATTAAGATGATAAGAAAATTGATAGGAAAAATAAAAATTAACATTAAAATTATACGAAAACGTTCATTTCTTGATTACGGTATAAATGTATGAAAAATTTATTATTTATAGCACATTATAAATAATTTGGATTAGATGACTGTGTTTGTTTAGTATTTTTACTTTAAATTAAGATTCTCTTAAAATGTCATAAAAAATACAAATATTTTATGTTTATTATAATTAAGAGAATATTTATAAAAAAGTGTGAATTCAAATAACAATATACCCTAACTAAAGGCCTATAAATAATGAGTCTTATGCCCTTTAATATAATTTAAAGTGAGAAAAGTTACGCAAAGTCCACCTTTTTAGAAATATTTTGGGGACCTATAAAAATGAATATGCTTTTAATTTATAAAATTGTTTATCGGAAATCCGACTAAAATCCCGTCCAAGCAACTTAGGGCAAAATAATCTCCTGGCGGAACCGGGAAATTTGTGCAAAATATTTTTGGGCCTCTAGAATTTTGAATCGAGCAGGATTGGAACTTGTAAAAAAATATTTAACTGATCGGATGAAATATTTTTTTAAATTATTGAAGGGCCGATTTGAGCCAAACTGGTTGATCTTCAATGCACATTGTTTGTATATTCTGTTAAATATTAATGTTTTGGTGTTTATTAATAATTACGGAATTTTAAGAATGGTGATATTATTAATTATTTGTTATTAATCATATTAACGTCATTTGATAAGTTTTGTTAAATTTTT